TTTAAGAAAAGTAAGGTCAAGGTCAAAGGAAAATTCAAGGTCAAAAATTTTGATGCAGTTGAAAAGCTTACATCAGTATGTATCAGCATATGACGTTTTATTGAAGTCGGACATGACAAACACTATATGCCTCGGCCATATTCATGGCAGGGCATAAAAAACTTGAATCTACACTATATGAGGATGTTTCCATATCAAAATGACTAACAAGCAAATTCAAAGAATTGTGGTCCCCTGCTTTCCGTGTCCTAGTGGATGGGATGCCATTATTTATGACATATTGTTTCAAATATGCACGCCCTATCATATGTCATTCAAAAGTAATCACCAAAGTTAAAATTTTTGAAAATTAGGTAAAACATCAAGGTCAAGGGGTAAAAAATCATAGCATGCTTGGAAACATATTGTTACAGGTAATGTACCTGTCAAATATAAAAGTCCTATCTCTTCTCAATCAAAAGTTATAAGGAAATATAACATTTTTGAAAAGCAGGTTAAACTTCAAGGTCAATGTCACAGAGTCAAAAGTCATGATATATTTAGAAAGGTCTTGTCACAGGTAATATACATGTATAATATGAACGCCCTATCTTTTCTCTTTCAAAATGATCATTTGAAATAATGTTAAATTTTTTGAAAAGTAGGTCAAACTTCAAGGTCAAGGTCATGGGTTCAAAAATCATGGTATGTTTAGAAAGTTCTTGTAGGTAATGTACATGTGAAATATGAAATCCCTATCTCTTATTATTCAGAAGTTATGACCAAGGTTAAATTTATTGTGACAGACGGACAGACTGACAAACGGACAGACTGACAGACAAATGAGATTTAATGTCCCATAGGTCCCTTTTGTGAAAACGGACGACAATAATGCCCTTGCTATTCATGAGAAGAAGATTTATGATGGAAAAAATCCCCTGCATTTTTCTATGTAAATCATTGGATCCCCATATGTGGCCCCATCCTACCCCAGTGGGTCATAATTTTAACAAATTTGAAGCTACACTGTCTATGTAAAGAAAGTTTCAACTTTTTGGGCCCAGTCAGTGGTTCTTGATAAGACTTTTTTAAAATGATACCACCAAATTTTCACTAATTCTTGATTATCCCCCCTTGAAAGAGGGTGTGACCCTTCACTTGAACAAACTTGAATCCCCTTTACCCAAAGATGCTTTGTGGCTGGGTTGGTTGAAATTGGCCCGGCGGTTCTAGTGAAGAAGACAAAAATGTGAAAAGTTTACAGGCGGACAGATGAATGACAAACAAAATGTGATCAGAAAACCAGAAAAACTCAAGTGAGCTAAAAACTGATGATCACAAGTACTTGGAAAGAGTTACAGTATTTGAAAAGCAGTTTTTTTTCATGCATTAATTGTTTTCAGAAGCTGAAAAGGTATGACTTGTATCCATGTTGAAAAAACTTCACATTTCAGAAAACAGTATGATTAAAAATAGTTAATCAAGGTGCTTTGAGTAGCAAAATAAGCTAAACTGGTATAGCTAATTCAACCACAGAGCTTAGTGAATTTTAAAATGCACAACCTTTTCAACTCTTAATCATTCTTAAAATATTTATATCATCATTTCTGATTCAAGGGAGAACTAGAGATATGATCAGAAGTATATCCATTGACTAATAAACATGTACATGTATATTGTGTTTTTTAAGTCATTAATGTTTGTTTGTTGTTAAATGTCCCTCTTGGGAATTTTTCACTCATACGGAGACACCACCACTTAAAAATAATGAAGACGTACAAGTCGGATTTAAGGTTAACATTCATTTTAGGAATTTTCAACAATTAATTAAGACGTAAAGAGATAACTCCTTCCCCTTGCCCCTTCCCCTTCCCAGACCCCAGTTTGTTCATGTATGCAAACTAGTCTAATACTTTGGTTTGACATAAAAAAAAATGTGAATACATACAAATAGTTTAATGGTCCATCTCTTTGAATGATTTTCATTCCTAATTCTAGGTTGACCCAAATTCATGAATGAAATGTCAAGTAATCTTATCATTGATGCACTTCTATTTAATTTGATGTAGTCATATTATGAACAAGAGAGTGGGGATGACCTCAAGGGTTCATAACCTTAAACCATTAGATGTACATAACATAATAACACAAGAAACAAAATTATGTCTAGTCAAATGGAAAAATTTTCTACTATTTAGGAGTCGCATGATCATTTGTCATTTCAGGGACAGGGAGCGGCTAGGGAGATTGGAACCCCCCCCCCCCCCCCCTGAAATTTGCAGAGTTATTTAAATAGGACTATATACTGATTTACAGAAGCAAATAAAAAATGACTTTGGATGCCCTCCCCCTTTAAAAACATGGACCCCACCATCATTGTTTTTATTTTGTTTGTTTGTTTGTTTGTTTTTTATTTTGCTCCTCAGAAAATTCTGGGCTGGAATTTTTTTGGACCGAGGTGTGGACCCCCCTCCCCCCCGGAAAAAAATTCCCGGATCTATGCCTGTAACTGAATGTAATG